ATGCCATATAAAGCATACTATAATGGCCTTAAGTATGCCATTAAATTCAGACAGTGCCTTTTCCCCTCCTTTGTTTCCTCTTTTTCTCTTTATTTTAAAGTACTATATATCTTTGTTTACTTAATAAGTTATCAAATAGAAGAAGAAAGCCCTTTAAGCAGAAAATATTGAAGTTTATATTTGTAAAGTAACAAAAATAACTAATTATTTGGATAAAATGATGTTTTCTCACCTTGTTAAACAAGACTACCTTTTAATTAAGATGTGTTAATAGTCTTGCTTGTTTGATAAAAGCTGGCAGAATATAATTTCAGATATCCCTAATCAAATTGTTCTGTGTTGCAAGACCTTTGTTTGCATAAAACAGATGCACAACCTGAGATCAAGAGCTGTATGTTTCTTCCCCAGGTTCCCCAAAAGTTGTTATTGCAGATTAATTTTCTTAACCATATTTATTTTCAAAATGGGTTGAAATGAAAATATCTATGGAGATTCTCTGTCATCCAGGTCATAGTCATCCCAAAGATGCTTTTTCACCAGGCAACTGGACTTTTTTGTTTTTCTTTGAAGACATTTCGCTTCTCATCCAAGAAACTTCTTCAGCTCCACCATCGAGTCAAAGCTGAAGAAGCTTCTTCGATGAGAAACGAAACATCTTCAAAGAAAAAAAAGAAAGTCCAGTTGCCTCGTGAAAAAGCATCCTTGGGTTGAAATGGAAAGAAACAAAATTTTGGTTTTTTTTTCCCCCAGCAAATACTTACTAGCTTTCAGAATGCTCTCCCTGTGTCCAGCATCTCTCTCAACAACCCACTATGGTTCCTGACTTCGAAGAAATCCTTTGGGATATAGTGTCTAGCATAATAAAAACAAATGTAGATCTTTTTGCCCTATCTTAACATTAAAATAAGCAGTTTCTATTGTTTGGGCAGTTAATTTGTCTAGACAAATTAACATTAATAAATTAATAAAACATTAATTTATTAATATTAATTTATTAACATTAATAAATTAATTAATAAAACATTTTATTATTCTTTTGGCAGTCTTAGCCAAACTATTATAGGTTCCAAAAGATTCTATGGGCTAGAGATCTGTTCAGGTGGTCACTAAGCATTGACAATGACTTGACAGTACATAGTCAAATCAATTAATCTCTGAAAGTTAAATATTACAGGTATGCACATAATAGAAAATATGTTTTGTTTTAAACCTGGGACAAATAACTTCAGTCTGGACTGGAGTTTCAGCTGAATTAATCCAAGCAGAAATAACCTAACACCATAATATTTTGGTGGTTCCTAGTTTGGGCCGGAACAAAATCTGCAGGACAAAGAAGGTGAAGCTGGTGTTTCACATGTGTCTTTCCATTGTTTTCCACTTGGATTTTTCATTTCTCTAATTTCTGTTAATCGCTGCCAGTACCCTTGAATTCAAATACAACATATCCAATTGGCTTCCAACCACTTCCTTTCTGTACCTCATCCAGCTGTTGCTGTTTCCCTCGATTTCAAGTATGGCACATCTAACCTATATAGACATCACTTCCCAGCAGCTTTATTTCCTTACCTCCAACCTATTCCTCCCCCCTCCCCACATCTTCCCACCTACTTCTTTTGCCTAGTTACACTTCAGTACTACTGCTACCCTTGTTCACTTGTCATTGTCCCCCAACTCCAAAGCATTTGTGCCTAGAATATACCGTAAATGCCGGCGTATAAGACGACTTCCACGAGCGCTGAAATCGGCGCCAAAGACGGGGGTCGTCTTATACGCCGAGTCGTCTTATACGCCAGAAATACTGGTAGTTTCCGGCGTATAAGACGACGTTCTAGGAATGCGGCCGGGCTATAAAGACGGGGGTCGTCTTATACGCCGGGTCGCCTAATAAGCCGACATATACGGTACTTGTTTCAGTTCTGTGCCCAAACCAAATATGCATATTTCAGGCCAGATTTGGACTTCCCTCTCACTGCTTAATAATTTTTCTAAGATTGGAAAATAAAATCTGATGAAGGTGTTGAGTTAGGCAAGAGCCATTCCAAAGATATAAGTGTATAGAAAAGATTTATGCCTGTTTATATTCACATTGATACTGTCTGAAGCCCATGCTGGATTTTAATTAAATTTTTCAACTGTTACTACTGCTGTGACTGATTAAGATGTTATAATTAACAAAGTTGAGCTTGATTACTGTAGTGTTATGGAAAGGGTCAATATAACAAAGACAATGCTGACCCTTGTTCATGATGTAATCAGCACCACTTTGATGACAAAGGTTGCATAATATATCAGTGATGTGAGTGAGCTTATGAGCGAATTGATTGATCAGTTTGTTTTGCATTTCTTTTATAAATAACGCTATTTGTTATTGCTTGGATGATTAAGCTCAATCAGAGAAGTTATTTGCATAGATGAAATATGAAACAAAGCAAGCTTTATATGGTCATTATAATCCTGATATTTCATCAACATTTCATCAATAGTTTTAATGAACATTTGGCTCCATTGATTAAGGAGCCACTCTGTGAAATAGGCAATCATATAAAAGTTCTATCAATAATAAATAATATTATAATATAACCTAGCCCAGGGGTAGGCAACCCAAAACACTCAAAGAGCCACTTGGACCCGTTTCCCACCAAAAACAGAACACTGGGAGCCGCAAAACCCTTTTGATATCTAAAATGAAGATAACACTGCATATATCCTTTTTTACCTTTATTATAGGTGTGTGTATGTGTATGTATATGTGTATGTGTGTATGTGTATACACACACACACACACACACACACACACACACACACACACACACACATATACACATTAAAAATAAAAGTAAAAATATGACTCTTGGGAATATCCCTACTATTAAAACAATGATCACCAAGAGAATGCTTTAAGAGAATAAAATTACATACACACACAGGTAAAAAAAGGATATATGCAGTGTTATCTTCATTTTAGATGTCAAAAGGGTCCCTCTCTCTCTGTCTCTGTCTCTCTCTCTCCCTCCCTCTCTATCTGCCCTTGGTCTGCCACTCCTCTTCCCCCACTCTCTCTATCTCTCCCTCTCTCTCTCTTTCTCTCTCTCTCTTTCTTCCCCCCCCTCCTATCTGCTGCTCACCTGGCAAGCTTCAAGCTGTTGTCCAACAACCTCCGGGGTAGGCAACCTCGTCTCTTTTATGACTCATGGACTTCAACTCCCAGAATTCCTGAGTCAGCCTAGCTGGGCTAGCTAGCTCTCTCCTGCCCTTCCTGCTTCCTGCTTCCTTCAGAGACGCAGCACAGGGAGGAGCTCTGCCCAGAAAGCTTTTCAGCTGCTCGGAGAACACTGTGAGTGCACTCTTTTACACACACACAAAACACACACACACACAGACACACACACACACACACACACAGAGAGAGAAGCAGGGAAGTGCAATTGCCTCTCTCTGTCTCTGTCTCTCTCTGCAAAGGCAGAGGAGGCTGGGAGCCACAGGGGAAGGCTCAAAGAGCCGCATGCGGCTCCAGAGCCGCAGGTTGCCGACCTGTGACCTAGCCAGTGACAAAGTTCAGATTCCATTTATCAAGGTTCTTAATGGATACGGGAAGTTTTGCATTCAAGTGAGATTAACGATCCAAGCAAATAAAACTAAGTATTTTATGTGGTTAAATTTCCATTTCCATCCTTTCCTCGACTCTGCTTACTTCTGAGCCTCTCGTTACTCAATTATCAAATATATCAAAGAGGAGAGGGAGAAGACTGTAAATATCCTGTATGAACTGGTGAGCTGAATTAGAGAAGCAAAGCAAAGTAATTGGACAATCTTTTAGAGCTGAAAATAGCACAAGAGAATTTATATGCCAAATGGATGGCATGGAAGCTCTTAAAGGTTAATAGATGGTCTTGATTATTACTGTTAGGCCAAAGCCACAAGCATGGTTAAAGGTTAAAAGAATAAAAAGCCCCAGGCTTACAGGAAAATCAGCTGAAGAAATCCAAAGAACCCACATCAATTAGCATTTATTTGCTCGCTCATAATTGAAAATAATTGAAACAGAATTTATGAAGGCAAGTTAAGTGCTGTACAAGTCAACTAATGCAAATGCTTTCGTTAATGGTAGCAAATGGATTAAATTAAAAATATGGCCTGCTCAGAAATAAAGTTCAGGTGCACTCTTTATCTCATTCTAATTATTACCTTCATGTTCTGAAAATCTTAATGATTAGATTTTGTTCAGTAGTTTCTAAAGTTCTGCAAGTTTTGTTCATACTAAAATAAAAAATATATCCTCTATTTTAGGAAGGTTTTTTTTCTGTAGTTAAAAGTATTATAAAAATCACAATCTTAAAATGCACATTACTGTATATAATTCCCAGTCTTTAAAAAAGACTTAAAAGGCCTTTGTCCTGCAAAGAAGATGATACGCTTTCAGCTTAAATTCTAAATTGTAGAGGAAAGAAAGTCTATATTTTTAAAATTATTAGTTCATAGGTCAAGCTGTTATCAACCTTTTTGGTTTAATGGATGAGTAGTTTGGTCCTGCTGTTACCTGTGGGTTAAAAGAAGCACAATAATATTAAATGCTTGTGACGTTCATTTCATTTTTTTTTCTTTTTTGAAAATGCCTTGCAACTGCAAAAACCTAAACAAAAGGAATTCAAAAATATGACATAGTGTACCTGTGTCCCATTAGCATTATATTACACATCATTGTTTCTGGTAGCAATTGCCATTTTCACTGATTCTGGATTTAGCTTAAAGTTTTTAATTACTAGAAAGACTATCAAAACAGAAAGAACTTGATTATGCAGCAACTCTGGCTATGTCTATGATCAACGTCTTATTGCACATTGTCTATATTGATAATGATGTCAATTCAATGCATGCAGTAACTGGTAGTTGTGAATATTCTTCTACCAATTCTTTGATACCCCAGGTAGCAAAATAAAATGATAGGATTTAAAATTATTATCTCAGTCTACATTCCAATGTGTTACTCTCTTTCTATATAGACCGAAGATGATGAAAAACTGAAAAAAAGAAAGGAGAGGTTTGGCATTGTTACAAGTTCAGCTGGAGCAGGAACTACAGAAGACACAGAGGTAACTTTTTTTTTTTATAACGTCTTGGGCACTGAGACTTTCTGTAATTGAAATAATGTCAGGCACTCCACAAGATGGCACTGTGTGACTTTTCTGTTTTTCTTTGCCCAGTCCTCATAGTCCCATTAAATTATTGTATACTAACTTAGATATAAATCATTTTTGATTATGTCAGAAATTTGCTTTTTTTTTCTCTTTAAGGATAGTTTCAGGTTATTGCTTTGTGATAGGTTGGATAATTTTTGAAAACAGACTAGTCAGGGTTTTCTGTCATTAATCTATACAATAGATATAAAACTTGGAATAATTTAGCTTTATCTTGTATGTCTACCCTTATGAGTTGTCCAGGATTACCCAGTTATCAACATAGCTGATTTCGAATTAGGGGTTGTAGAACCAGACTAATTTTCTATCTAATGTAGAGCTTAAAGAGTGCTTTTTAAAGTGTGGGATGTATGTATATCACATGGCATGCATGCAGCATTGTTTTATTGTCTCTTCGAGTGTTAAAACAACACTGCTATTGCTTTAATCTTTTTGTAAATTCTTGACGGCAGGCATCTGCCATTATGTTACCAGACCTATGGTTCCTTCCCAATACTAATTTGATCTTTCTATTCCTAGTATGCAGGGTTGTTGTTTTTTGGTTCAGCAACTTTGCTTTTAGGTTGGTTGCACTATTAAGATGTAATCTCGACCACAAGTAGTCCTTTTCCTAAAGTCTTAACTTCACTGACAGAAGGGAACAATATTTGGATATTGGATTGAACCCTGAGTGTTACCAACAGGAACTTTATTTTCATTGGCACCTTCTGTGGGGTGCTTTTTGTTTTCCTTAGATGCAACACAAGCACTGCTTCCCAAAATGAAGTAGCAGCTGTAGAATGATCTGCCTGTTCAGTTGGAGCGAAGGGGGTGGCTGGTCTGTGGTCTGAGGGATTCCATGCTTCTCCGTCAGGGCATTTAGTGAGTGTGCCTGAAACAAAAAGCTCTTTTTGTAGTATTGTATATACTAAAAGACACCTTTTCCCTGGAGATTCTTGATTAGGACTTCTGTTGCCCCCTAAGCTATTTATCGTGGTAAAAATTAAGATTTATATGCCCCTGGTGTATTGACTTAGAGGCATATCTCAAAGATGCATGAGTGTATTCAATGCATTTGACGGTGTCCCACTCGCCTTCTCTGTGAATAGAAGAGTGTTAACCCTTTGGCCTTTTACATTTCCCACCTCCTATTGCCTAGAAGGCTTTCGAAGCCTATAAAATGGTAATTGTTCCAAGCAGAACTTTCTCATACAAGCCAGCAGGATGAAGCAACTAACAGGTCACTGTATCTCATGCTTTATAGCTTAATTTCTGACTGTAGTTGAGGCCCCATTGCAATAGGAGTGCCTCTTGTGAAACCTGATATGAAAGATGCTTTCTTAGAGAATACTGTTACACTCCTTATAGACTTTCTACTTTTCTTTATGCCAAAACACATGCTCAGAGTTGCCATTCCCTTTGGTTTTGACTTTTTTTTAATTCATCTTTTAATTCCTATTTACAGGCAAAGAAGAGAAAAAGAGCAGAACGTTTTGGCCTTGTCTGACGATCTTCCTCTTACTATTTACTTGTTCAGGGTGTATGTTTTAAACATTCTTCATCTCTGAGGAAGAACACAGTTTCTCCCTAACACACATTTTGTATTTCAAAACTAGCTATTGAGTTGTGCTGTTTGTACCCTACCCCACACTCTTTCAGATCTGAAAAGTACAGAATAAAAGTATTCTGTTTATGTATGTTGTGACCAGTTTGGATCTAGTGGTAAATTTTTTTAGCCATTTGTATCCAAAGTACACATTGTTGCTTCTTTCTGGAGTAGAGACAGCTGCACAAAGGGATTCCCCAGCTACCCTAATAAGAATTGTCACCTTCAGCTCCATTTAAAGTAAATCACTAATAAATAGTTAAAAAGTTGTTTGAGCACTCTTTGCATTTTTAGATAGGCATTCCTTGGCTAGGTATTTCTAATTTCCCATTAACTCTGGAGAAGAAATATTTTTTCTTTCATTTATAAATTCCAATCATAAAGTCGATCAGTTTCTTCTAATTACTCTTAAGCTTAGATTTTACTAAAAAAGTGAAACATTTTCTCCTTGGAGCTATACTAAATATTGAAGCTTATGAAGTTATGAAATCTTAAGATGGATCCTGTATTTTCCTTTGCTAGAATGGAACTACTTTTTACATCTTCAATTACAAAATATGAGTGGCCCACAGAATAGGATAAATTGCATCCCAATAAAAAGGTAATGAAATTGTCATGTACATAGCTAGACAGCTTCCTGCAGATACTCTTATTCATAGTAATCTGTTAGAATTGTGCCTCAAAACTTTTAAAATTTGTCATGAATACAGAATTTCCTCCATTAAGAATAGTACCAAAAAGTTATAAAAACAATAGGTATAAAATTATTACAAAATATTATATTCATCTTCAGCTTTTTTAAACACAGCTTTAAATTCATAGTTGATTTTCAAATACAGTGTCCTATGTTTCTCTCTGAATTGAATGTATTTTGAATATCTGATGTTTGGTGTTTCAATTTATTAAAGACAATTACTTGGAGAAAACTTCTTGCCTATTACATTACCACATTCTATTTTCTTACAGACAATTTATTCATACCACCTTTAAAAATTGATTGTAATTGTAGCTGAGCAAGAATACATCTTTGAGTGATTTCATCTTTAAATGTATATCAACCACATTTTTTTACTAAAAATAGATTAAACAAATATTAATTTTTATTACAGATCTGTATCATCCGTTATAGAAAGAAGTTGTTAGGACATTCTGTATTTTAAAAACAATCTTAATGATTCATCAGAGGTTTTATACTGTTACTGATAGACTTTTGTCTTGAGTGGTAATCAGTTTGGCCTCTGGGATTTTTTTTACCCTAATCTTTTTTTTTTTTTAAAAAAGATGATTCCCCCCCCCTATATCTCATACTTAATTCCTTTTGTCTAAGTACAAATTAAACGACATATATGAAAATAACTTGAAGATTCTTCTTCTTCTGATCCTGGATTCATGCTTCATTTATATTTGAAATTAGTCTGTTTGACAGTATGCTTGTGCTTTTCATTATTTAAGCCTTTGAGCAATAGTCTAATGATTTATTTGCTATTTAGCACTGGGATGACACAGTGTGTGTTATATATCTTTTGAAATGTTTTGTAGGTTGTACTGAAGCCAGTACATTTCATTTTTTATTTCATAATAAACTGCTTAAGGAAATACATTCCCTGCTTCTTTGATGCATCAGAATTTGCTTTTTTGTAGTTGTTGTTTATACCTGCTATGCCATGTCTAACAGAGCTATAATGATGCACGTACTGGTTGCGTCTGGTTCTCATTAAGAGAACCCCCTGTTTGTGTTGGATCACAAATATCCCTCTAAATACCATAGTTAGCTCCCTACATTCCTGTTTCAAGAACCAGACTTTATAATTTGATAATTTTTCTCCTAATTATGGAGAGCAGATTTTGTCGCCCAATAAAGGAAGTGTACAGTGGTATGTGGAAGTCAGTCTGCATTGAAGGATTGAGTATCTTCTTGATCAAATACATAGTTTTGGAGGAAATGGATGAGGACATGGGGAAGCATTGTGCTGCATGGATCTTTGGATCTTTTGCTTGTCTTGTGCCTCTTATCTGACCTTGACTGATCCTAGCAACGAAGTATGTTTGGTTCCGAATGAAAGACCATTTGGGAATTTCAGGGCTGCAGACTAGACTAGAAGTTGAAAAAGTATGATGGAAGAGGGCAGTAGCAGCCCGTTTCCATGATACTGATAAGAAAACTGCAAAAATATTAGGGAACCAAGTTGGTGTAGTGACGGAGATCCTGGACCAGATAGCAGGAGACCGTGAGTTCCCGCCCTCCTTTAGGCATAAAAACCGGCTGAGTGTCAATACCTGCCTCTCCGCTCAGACAAATGCACAAAGTTCTTGCGGAGAAAGTAGGCAGGAACATGATTTTGGTTATGCAAAATAAAGGTGAGATATAAATAGAATAGTGAATGTGGTTATCAGAATCAAGTTTGATTCTAGGATACCTTCACCTTTATATTCAATAATGCATAATTTTTATAGCTTGAACTGTCTTTTCCATATTGCTTGTTGAAAAATAAATGCCAAACGTGCATTTATCTTTAGACATCTTCATTGATATTTTTCAGCTTTGCACATAAAAACAGGAATCCAGAGCAACTGCACTTCCCTCCCTTTTTTTTTCTGGTTAATTAATTCAGAAGGGGGCATTTTGGTTCTGTTGACAACCATAATGTGCATCAGAATTGCCACTCTTAAGTATAAATGCTGTAAGAATGGGTTATATTCATTTTACATGTTAGCCTCTGAGGTAGTTACCATAGGTGAAAAGAGCAGTTAGGTATGTTATATTACTGGGAGAACACCAACACATTCTGTGGTGTTAGGTGATCACTGTTCTAGATTTTCCCACTTCCTAGCTAGCTACTGGTTTCTTGAAATGGTTCATATTTGGAATAGCGTTACTTTAGCTTTAATGGATTGCAAGCAAAACACTGATTTATGTCTTTTAGTTCATGGAGGGATTTTCAGGTTAGAAAATATAAATCCTGATTTGGACAGATTGAGAAATAATCAAATTAAATACTATCTTCCTGCAATAATCCAATACTGGACACAAGCAGTGGTTTGCTAGGATGCTATCAGAATAAATTCCGATAATTCTCTGCAATTGGGAGATTCATTTATAGTGACTAACTAACTGCATTTTCATATATTCTGTTCTTAACTAGTAGTTAAGATTCAATTAAACAACAAATTCAATATTGTGAAGTAAGTAGAAGGATTTTTGCTTTGCTTTTCTAGTACAGGATATTTATTTTTATTTATTTATTAAATTAAATTACATACATCATAATTTTTGTTATTTCCCTTCTGTCTATCCTATCGAAGCAAAAGATTATGGATACTCCTCTCATTTTTTTATCCCAGTAACAGGAGCATCTTAAAAGATAAAATGCAAGCTTTGTAAAATCAGAATGCTTTTGCAATTCATGGCAAGCTTCTTTTGATAAAAAGAAATATATATGGCTAGATTCAAATGTGTGTTAAGGTTGGATATTTGTGCTCTTATTATAAGTAAATTTTCATTTTACCATGACTGCATTCCTATGCTTAAAATAAAATGTTTTTAGGTGTGTTGCTTAATGAAAATAGCTATTTGGGCAGTAGTGCTAATATAGTAATCTCCTGCTCTGTGTACTCAGTCTGTTCTGATCCTGTTAATTATAATTAAAAAAAAAATTACCTTTCAGAGGTCTTTCTTGCCTTCTGTACTGCTTCGACACTGGGGAAAATTATTAAAAATGCTATCTTGTAATGGGTGAGGGTTACTCCATTCTTTAGGAGAAAAAAAGGAGGGGATCAATCTAATCAAACTGTGTTTAAAACATTACCTAATTTATTTTTCCTCTCTAAGCTGGGGGCCCGCTCGTGACTAATTTGAGCTGAATAGGCAGATAAAAAAAGCAGCAGGCATACAATGAGCGGCAGAAAGTGTGGGAAAACCAGGAAAAGAAAGGGATGTCCAAGACTTGCAGTGTGAGAGCTACAGAAGGCTATGTAGCACCCACGTTCAGCATGAAGTCACTTTTCAAAAATAGACACTAGGACTCTAAATGCAATAGGTCTGACTATAGGTCAGAAAGGAGAAGGATTGTAATTTGTCCTTCATAACAAAATACAAACATATGTTCTTCCCAACTGCAATGTTGTATTCTCCCCATTGGCCTCTCGCCCACCCCTCCAGCCTTTGGTGGGTGGGTTTGAAATTGTTTGTAAGAAAAAGAGAAAGGCACCTTAGATGTATGCCAAGAAGGATTTGGTTAAAAAGAAATATACTTTCTTTGCCCCGTCCCTTTGCTTTTTTAAAATACTTACTGAGTTCTAACACAATTTTATTTCTAGAATAAATATACCCAAAATTCTAAACATCTCAAATTCAACTTAATCCCCTTCTACCTTGGAAACAACTAAAAGCTGATTTTATACTTACATAACTGTAAGATCACAGGTACAAGCTACCTTTGCTTTTTTGGAAAAAAAATACATTTTGAAAAACATGATAGGAAAACCACGTCCAACAATGATCAAGAACTATAATACAGAATTGTGGCATGACTGCTAACAGATTTTAGAGAATGCAGCTCATTACACACTGCCTGTTGCCCCAGGGAAAAGGCAATGAGATTTGCCTTTAAGCCTGCAATGATAAATATGTGTATTGGAAAATGGAAGTTGCATAGGACATAATTTATTTCCTGGCAATACATACCCAGGATTATGCTGTATATAACAAGGCATGCTGATTCCACTGCAGAAGGCACTTAATTTAACATTATAATTTAGTTGGCATACTTGGTATTCAAACAATTTTTCAGGACTGATTTTAATACTGAAACTATATTGGTTAGTTTGATGTCGCAGAGAGGATTGATAAAAAAATGTTTGATATTTTTAGGCAAATGTATTCCACTTACCCTTGATCAGATTGCATTAAACAGGTATAAGTCTGGGGAAGTTTTCATTCAGTTCTATCAAAGGAAACAAACATGGTGTAAATACAATATCTGTACAGTATTGTTTTCTTATTCAAGTTTAAATAATATCCAACCTAAACAGTTGGCTGTGTATTTGTGTAGAGACTACTCTGAGATTTTTAATGTCTTGTTATTTTAAAAATGTAACTGCAATTTCATTTACCCTAGGCCTGAGGTTCTTGACAAGTTACAATTCCCAATAGTCTAATGTTCAGTGGTGACATATTTATGTAAAACATTTATATAACAATCTATCTTATGTCAAACTCTAGACAGTTCCCAATCAACAATTAAAACAATGTCAATAATAATATGCAAATATCTATTGAAATTATAAACCAGCGATGGCAAACCTTTTAGAGGAGTGGTTCTCAACCTTTTTAATGCCGCGACCCCCCCCAACCGGTCGTAAGTCGAGAACTACCCAACCGGTCGTAAGTCAAAGACTTTCCCTGCCCGGGAGTGCCACGCATGCGTGGTGCCGCCCCCTGCGCCAGCCGAGGCATAGCTGGCAAGCAGACAACTTGCAGCACCGTTTGCAGAATGGGACTTTTGGTGGGCTCAGCAGGGCAGAGACAGCCTGGACAATTCAAGAGAGTCTATTCTATTGGCTTTCAAAAGCCAATAGAATAAAAGGGAATAGCACAGCTAAGGAAAAGGGGGAAAAAATGGCAGATTGCGTTGTTTGGCGACCTCCGTGAAATGGTCGTTCGACCCCAAATGGGGTCCCGACCCACAGGTTGAGAACCACTGTTGTAGAGACCGAGTGCCCAAACTGCAACCCAAAACCCACTTACGTATCACCCGGTGCCGGTTGGGTGTGGCCTACTCGGCAAGCACAGCTACAGTAGGCTTGGCAGACTGGGTGGGCGTGGCCACTGGATGGGTGTGGCTGCAGTAGTCATGGCAGATTGGGTGGGAATGGCCGGGTGGGCGTGTGGCCACCTTGATGTTGCTTATGGGGAGGGACACCTGTGGGAGCCGGGCAGGCTTGGGGGAGATCCAGGGGGTCTCTGGCAGGTGGGATGGTGGGCTCCCCAGTGGCGGCTCCAGGCCGGCTGGCCTTAGGCCAGTGATGGCAAACTTTTAGAGACCACATGTGCTGGGGCGATGGTGTGTGCCCACAGAGAGGGCTCCACGTGCCACCTCTGGCACGCGTGCCATAGGTTCGCCACCACTGCTATAAACATTAAAAAACCTGGCACTAAGTTAAGCTTCTAACATACAGTCCTTTTGTCCACTTTACCTATCCCAGCCAGGTCTTCAGTGCTTTGTGAAAGCCTAGGAGGGCAGAAAACTGTCAAACTCCAAGGGGACAGATGTTCCATAGGGCAGGGACTGCCATGAAAAAGACAGCTTCCTAGATCCCATAAGATGGCTGTATTTAAAAGAAGAGATTAGGAGTGTGCTCACCGTATTGGATTTGGTAGGGAGATGTCTTTAGGGAGACATGGTCCTGTAGATTACCTGGCTCTGTGCCACATAGGCCTTTGCACCTCGAAAAGCCAGTAGCTTGCAGCTTTTCTCTCATATGCTCTATATATGCTGAGTTGCATACAGCAAGATCTGCTAATACAGTGGTTCTCAACCTTTTTAATGCCGCGACCCCCAACCGGTCATAAGTCAAGGACTACTCAACTAGTGTAGCATC